TGTTTTTTGTCTGTCCGAGATTTGAAAATGAACGAAGAGATCGGAGCATAAGGGTTGGGAGGACGCCAGCCGCTTGTAACCTGGTGGACATTATGCTTGAATCAGAAGTAAATTGGTCTGCGGTATGCAACATGGCCACAATAGTACTCAAAAAAACTGCGCTTCGCAGAAAGACTGCGAAATTCCAATAAGATAGAATCCTAGAGAGCCCTAAGGGCATTAATTGACAGTTATCTATATCTGTTACTTCATACCTATCGTTGTCAAAAACTCTATTTATTTTATATGGACCTCTATATTTAGGACCTCTATGTTACGTCTATATTTCTTATTGCCACAAAATCTCCAACGCTATATTCCAATGGCGCTTTCTGTTTAGCTGCTTTAATAATTTTATTTCTTTTCTGAGACTCTACAATCTTTAAATTTGCTTTATCCCTTATATCTTTTAAATCTATCCTTTTGTTTTTATTTAATTAATCATAAATACTCATATAATTCATCAACTATCGGACCTTTTTGATCTACTCCAAAGAGGATCATGCTCGGTGTTTTTAATGTACTAGAATGGACTGAATTGTTGATTGCGTGTTCAACCTTATTTATAAGTTTATACCAATCCGCTTGATTAATTGGATTAGACAATTTTCCTACAATATTACGTTCCGCTAAAAATTCACTAAACTCTAATGAAGTAAAGCAACTACCTCTATCAGAAATAATTCTGCTATTCGGCCTACTATAAAATTCGAAATATTTACTTAAACTCGCAATTAATTCATGTGTACTTGTAGAATTTACAGGGAATAACTTCACAAACTTTGTAAATGAGTCAATTGCTACTAATAAATGTTTCCTTTTTGAATTTATGCACGGCAAGGGCCCTTAATGATCTATGTGAATCGTATCAAATGGAATCGGCACTTTGGGTATACTGTGTAAAATTCTATTGTTAACTGACTTTGAAACCGATGACTATAGGAAACCGATACTTAGACTTCATATTATTGTAGCAATTCTCTGCAGCTAAATGACCTCGTTTTTCATGGGACAACTTAATTAAATCATCTCGAATACTTGATGGAACATACAAAGTCCTATTCTGGTTCGTGTCTTCGTGATATACAACACCATCTATCAAAACAAAAAGTTTCACTGATCCTTCTGCTAACTCGTCTCGTATTTTACTTATAACTTCATCCCTCATTTGCTCCGTTTGCTATAGATAGTAAATATCATCTGGCATAGCTCCCACCGTGCCAACTAAATTAACCAATTCCACTTCTTTTTGTAATTCCGATAAATTTCCAAATTCCACAAGCCTTGAATTTTCTAAAGCCTTTAACTCTGCTACTTCTAATGACCCTGACGATTCTACTAGTTCTGACTTTTCTGTTTTATTAATTCTGACTTTTCTGACGATTCTAATAATTCTGACGACTTTGGAACTTCACACGGTTATCCCATTACTCTTTCTACCTTATTGCTTAACAATTCCGTTCCCTACTTAAAGCGTCAACATGCGGCATAATTTCGCAAGGCCGGTGCTCAATTTTATAATTGTAGTTTTCTAATTTCAACGACCAACGAGCAATACGGGGATTGATAGACTTTTTGCTTAATGTTTGTACTAAAGAATGACAATCCGTCAAAATTTTAAAGGGCATGTGTTCTAAATATACTCTAAAACGACGAAGAGCATAAATAATCGCAAGTGTCTCGAGCTCGAAACTGTGGTACCTTGATTCGGCTGCCGAAGCCTTTAATGAATAATAAAAGACTGCATTGATGCATTTTGCCATCGTTTTGTCTCTGCAATAAAACTGCTCCAAGACCTCGAGAACTGGCGTCAGTATGTAATTCCGTTTCACGATTAGGGCTAAATATAAAAGTATTGGCGGAGTTGATAAACGATTTCTTAAGTCCTTAAAAACTTTCATTTGTTCTTCATCCGTCGGGAACGGTCCTCCTTTCTTTAATAGTTCAACTAATGGTCGGGCTATACTTGCATAAGACGGAACAAATCTACGAATATATGAGAACATACCTAAATAAGAGAGAAGTTGTTTTGTATTATTCGGAACAGGATAATTTTTTATAACTTCTATATGCGAATCATTAGGCAAAATCCCTTTATTGCTGACACTGTACCCTAAATAATCTAGTACCTTTCTTAAAAATAAGCTCTTCTTAAAATTGATTTCTAAACGAAATTTTGCTAATCGTTCCAGCAATTGTACCAAGATTTCAAAGTGTTCCTCTACTGTTCTTGTATATTGTCCATGTAAACAACAATTTTGCGATTTCTAACCAAGTCCATCAGACTCTTAAAAATAAATCGCTGAAATACTGACGGCCCATTTCGCAATCCAAATGGCATTCGTATATACTCAAACTGTCCTTGTGGCGTTACAAACGACTTAATGGTACCCACTTTTTAAATCAATAACCGAAAAACAATTCTTTCCCTCTAAATACTCAAGACAATCTTCTATTAAAGGCAAAGGGAAATTATCACGAATTGTGCACTTATTAAGGCTTCTGCAATCAACACATTCTCTGATTTCACCGGTTTTTTTTAACTAATACAATTGGGGAGGAAAATGGTGAATTACTCGGACGTATTATGTTATCGTGTAACAACTCTTCAATTATTTTCGAAACTGTATCTCGTTCAAAATATGATAGCCGTCTAGGCTTAAAATGAAAAGGAGTATCACTTATTAGTTTTATACTCATTTTGCAACAGGTTCAGCTAATTTCGTACTTAAAACATTTAAATAACTTTCACAGATCAACTTACAGCATTTTTCTCTATTCCCAAACCCGAATTCGCTACCGATATCTAGATTTGTATTTAACTCTGTTGTAACACCTGCACACAAATAATCCATGTCATTCATCCACTGCTCAATTGGGGTATTCTCGGTATTTAACTGACCTTCCTTTATGTCAATGTTTATCTTATTGTCCATTGTATTATAAAACAGAGATGCACAAGAAGTAGTTAAATCAAATTTATTATTATCAAATACTGACATTTTTCCATAGTTTCTTTGGATAAATTGTAATTGTAAAGCGTCAATAGCGTTTCTGCCAAGAATCATAGCAACAGGTAATTCATCATCGTGAACAACAAAAACTTCAATTTCATTAACTTTCAAATTAAACTTAATATAGCATTTAACTGCTCCGCATAGCAAAATATTTCTTTCATAAACTCCACGTTATTTACTCTCGAATGGGTTGACTAGCGTAACATCTTTTGGCAAATTTGTCTTGCTTACGAAGGACGCCTCGCATATAACCAATAGCGATTGAGTGGTACTCCCAACACTGCACATGCAGTTTCAAACTCTTCAATCCATAATTTGACAGGAATGCCATCCTCTCCCGAAAAGGGCTCCAGTACCGCCATTATATCCGCGATATCACCCCGGGAAAAATTTGCGTCCATTTTTGTACCAACTTGGTTCCGTTCTATGTCGCTTAGCGTTGTTTGAAGTCCCGCTACTCCTCGACAAACATCAGCCAGATCCTCTCGAAACGTGCACTCATCCACTCCAATCTGAGCCACGTGCTGCACAAGAGGTTCTGCATGGGCTATCTTGTCTTGTAAGTCGGTGTCACCTCCCGCAGCTTGATCTTCAGACACTTGTCTGGTGCCGCGAAACCATGCTGCCGCCAACAGCCTGATCTTGCAACACAATGTTGTTTGCAGCTGCCTGACCATGTTCGTCATCCGGGCCAGCCTCATGCTTATCGCTCATTTTAAACAAAGTGTTTGCCACTATGGTGTATGGAAGCCCCGACGTCAAAATGCAGTTCGTTGGCTCTCAATATATCAGAATACAACATGGGTACTATATGTGAAAGCTATGGGCAATCACCCCACACCTGAACTGTAAATAGTGCTTTTTAATTTAATGATTTTATTTCTTCTCTTCTAATGTTCCGCGTGTTCTCTCTTCTTCTTCAATTACAAGTGGCCTATTTATCTCGACAATCGAGTTCACCATGTAATCGATATCTGTTATCTTATCGATGCCTAATATAAAGTTACATTATAGAAAGTACACTAAAATACAATGCAAAATATAACATTATATTCACACTTAATACTATTTAGTATATATTCACATATGTTTACGATAGTATACATTCACATATGTTTTCAACAGAAAGTACACACTAAAATACAATGCATAACATTATGTAAAACTTAATACTATTTAGTATATATTCACATATGTTTACAATACCCAACTGGAAGCACTGGTGTAGACGAAGTTCTAAACTGTCTAAATAACCAAGCCGTACATTTTGAAAATCCTTACCGCACAGTGCACGATAGAGGCACTGCTTTCACATCTCTCGCACTCAAGGAATACTGCGGGTCACACAACATACGGCATCTGCTTATAGCGACAGGTGTTAAGCGGGAGTTTTTAGGTCTTTACAAGATTGTTGCAGTTAAGGATCATGGGCGTTACGAAGTAGAACATATAAGCGACTCAGAGCGTCCATTTAAAATGGCGAATGAACAGTCAGGAGGGCCGAATGCAGGATTTTAATCTGCCGGGCTTATTACGCGGCACACTCGCAGCGGGTTAACTTAACTCTTAATCAGCTCGCGATCTAAAATCATCAATAAAGTACTCGATTCATTTAAGGCCGCCGATATCTGCACGAGTGAGCGGCGAGTCGTCGTTTAGCGTTCGTGAAGAACACAATACAATTTATGTGAGAAAAATAACTCTATAAAACCCAATAAAACATTGCTAATATATAAATTCCTTCATAATAATTAACTGTGCGACGTATAATTTTTTACAATTTTTGTTAGGATCTAAGTTGGTGAGAATCAAAACATTTACCATGTTTTATATCATTACAAAAGTCTCTTCTCGGACAACTTTAAAATTGTTTCAGTCCCTGCATTAAACGATAAATACATACACCTTTGATCTACGAGTGAATTATTTTAAAATTACGCTTACCTAGATATGAGTACATAGAAACTTCCAAGCGAAATCAATGACATCCCTACATGGAAGGCCACAATTGAAGCTCCATATTTCTTAAACGCTTTCTTGAGCCGTTCTCTTTTATTCAGTTTTACAAATGATTCTTTGGAAATCCAGTTCGATTGGGCAGATTTAGTTGTAGGAGAGTTCGGAGGCGTTGATTGCGTGCTATAAGATCGCCGCTTGGTGAAACCTGCGAAGAAGTTTAAAGTTTTTGTAGGTAAGTGTGAGTTTTACAAAAGGAGTTGAACAATACAGAATGGCCTGCTGTTACCAGATACGAGGCGAATTGGCGCGGCAAGGCCAAGAGAGTTTGGTAACCGAGATTGAGAGTTTGGAGGGCAATAGATGGAGAATAAGAAAATATAGAATGAGAGTATGGAGAAAGAGAGTTTGGAGAGCGAGAGATTGGAGAACAAAGCGCATTGGACTTTGGACTCTGCCGTGAACTTTGGACCAGGAGAGTAAGTGCCACAGCTCAGCATAGGAAAGCCCGCGCGACAGTTACCCTACCGGTACCATCCAATACACCACCGTCCAAACCTCCCCACGCTAACCTATTTCATTTGGACATCGGCCGGTAGTTGGCCGTTCATTGTCCCACATAAGATTTCTACAAGAAATGCAACATCAGCACAAGACCCACTCAGGAAGCCCAAAAAAAAAAACTTTGTTAGCATTTACACACCCATACATACAGTGGTCGGCATATGTATTTTGACAAAATAAAAGTTAAGTATACTCATAACTTGAATTTACTTCTTGTAAACTATAGGCATCAATGGAAAGGTAATTTCAATGCCGTTTGAATGATACAATACATTTCTTAACCCATTCAGTATTTATTGAAAAGGACGAATTTGTGTAAATCAACTTTTAAATTTTTTTTTCAAACTTTTTTCCTCGACTTGAAAACTTAAACTTTTTGATGCAAAAAGTTTCTTCAAACAAAAATAATAGTAACTGCAAAAAGAATTTTTCAAAAATCATTTTTCTTATATTTTTTATGAATTTTTGAAAATGCTTAAAAACAGGCATTTGAGCCATATTTTTCTCTTTTTCATACAAATTTTTTCCGACATTGTCACCTTCAAAAAATCATAAAAAATATAAGAAAAATGATTTTTGAAAAATTCTTTTTGCAGTTACTATTATTTTTGTTTGAAGAAACTTTTTGCATCAAAAAGTTTAAGTTTTCAAGTCGAGGAAAAAAGTTTGAAAAAAAAATTTAAAAGTTGATTTACACAAATTTGTCCTTTTCAATAAGTACTGAATGGGTAAAGAAATGTATTGTATCATTCAAACGGCATTGAAATTACCTTTCCATTGATGCCTATAGTTTACAAGAAGTAAATTCAAGTTATGAGTATACTTAACTTTTATTTTGTCAAAATACATATGCCGACCAGTGTACATGGTGATTGTAAACACATAGAATTCTTTGGCGGAGTTTTGATTGCACTATGTTGAATTTGACCAGTTTCCGTGGCCAAAACTCATTTTTCGCGAGTATGCAAATTTCTAATCTAATCTTTATAATCTAAAATGTTAACTTAACAGTTTAGTGTTAAAATAGCAGCTGTTTAAGTCAGTTCTTGCAAGCGAACAACACGTGCTGTCTTAAAGGTTAACTTTGCGGTGCAATTTCAAATTGGCATATCTATGACAAAAAATCATTAAATAATAAAATTCAAAATGAATATTAATTCTTCAGGTTAGTACTATGTGTTGATACTAATATGTTGCGTGTTTCGTTCGTCTTTTTCTAACAATTTGTATATTTAGCAAGTGATGTCCCCTTGTCACTTTTGGAAAGAAAGTTGAACTTTCCCAAGAGTTTAAAAACCAATTTCAAATTATTTCAGTGAGTGTCTATATACATGTTGTACAGTTGTCAATTCTGAATTCAGAACTAGTAAGCACATTGTGCGTTTTTTGCGCCTTTTTGCGCTATTTGATTTATTAGGAAGCAACATCGTAATCAGGCGGATCCAAAAACATAAGAGACTTGCTTTGCCAGTAGAAGTCATCCAGCTGTTGGCTTGTGAAGTTCTGCAGATGAGTCTGCAAATGATATCAACGCAAGGGAAGACGACAATACATATTTTTTTATAATAATAATGAAATTGATGACATTGATGAAGTTGAAAATGAATACATAAAATGATACAACAAAATAAAATGTTTTCTTATTAAATAACTTCTATATTTATTATGCGATCTGGATCAAATTTGCAGGACACAATTGAAATAGGACATTCATAATGTGTTCCAAAATTGGGGTCTCTAACTTTATAATTGCTTTAAATTTTCGTTTTTTCCGTTTTCTGTGGGCGGAGGGTGCGTTGACATACCCACTTTTCTAAAATACCTTCCTAAAGTCATAACCATCATTATAAGAGAACCCTACAGTGAAAAATCTTGTAAATTTCAAAAATTTTAATTTTGGTCATGGAAACGGGTCAAATTCAACATAGTGGATTGGAATCTCGAGCCACAATAAAGAACATTCCGTTTGGAACAAGCTAATCGAACACAACGAATATTAAATTGAAGTCTTAATTTAAAAAACTACTTGACCACCATCAGAGCGATATTATAACAGGCGAAGCCGGACCCCTCAGCTGGAAGGAAAAAAGAACCCAGATGACTGAGGAAGAATCGAAATGAAAAAAAAACAATCTGTTTGGAACAGTTAGTTAAAAAAAGAATAATGATGTAATGGAAGTGAGGTGTGTGGTGTATAAACAAAAAGAAAAGGTGCATATAATAACGACAAAATTGATAAAAGTATAAAATGAAGTACAAACAAGAAAGGAAGTTAGCTTCGGCAAGCCGATGTTTGTATAACCTTGCAGCTATATTTATTAAATTTAATTCGAAATTCTTAAAAATACAAAAAATTATATTACCAATAGTATAAGAAAATATGTCAAACAAGAAAGGAAGTTGAATTCGGCAATCCGAAGTTTGTATACCCTTGCAGTTATAATTATTAAATTTAATTCAAAATTCTTAAAAATACAATAAATTGTATTTCCAATAGTATAAAATAATATGTCAAAAAACACCGAAGCTATAATGTGATTCATAGTATTTTCCCACCAAAATTAAATTCGAAATTCAGATCTAATTAAAAAATTTTATTTCCAAGCGTAGGAGGTTATATGTTAAGAAACATATAATTAAAAAAAAATGTTTTTCCAATTATTTTTCTTTTAACAACCGGACGGATTTTGCAAAAAAAAATTTCACATTTTTGATTTGCCTGAAACTTTTCTTACGTATACTTTTCGGAAAATAAGTAAACACGTCTATCAGGATTTGGCCGAAAAAAAAAATATTTTTTTAAGTTCGAATTTTTTAAAGTTTTTAAAAAAAGCTAGTTTTTAAAAAGTAGCCCCTGTTTGCAAGTCTATATCTCCATCTGTAGTTATCCGATTGATTTCATGTCTTTTGCATAAATTCCTGTGAAACCACTACTTTTTAAATACATTTTTTTTAAACACACAAAATTTTTAATTTCTTAAAAAAAAAAAAATTTTAATTAAAAAAAAAATGTTTAACTATTGCCCCACAAAAAAAATATATTTCTTTTAATTATAAAATATGCCTCCATTCGTCACCTACAATCAATTTTTTTTATAGGTTGGAGTCCTTTTTTGTTTTTAAGATATCGAATTTAATGTAATAAGCCCTCTGATATTTTCAGCAGCCATCTCGCTTGATCTTTCAGGTGATGCGTTAGATTTGCAAAATTTTTTTGTTTTTGTATTGCGCGCCAGCTCAAATCTAACGCATCACCTGAAAGATTTTGGTTTAGAGGCTGGGTGGCTCTTTTTCCCCACATCTCACGGCAAAGGTGCGTGTGATGGCTTACAGTTAAAAGGTTAGCCGCCAGAGCTAGTCTGCAAAGAGTAACTAACCCAATACAAACGCCATGGGAGTTATTCGAATGGGCATTCAAGTCTCTACACTAAATTCGATATCTTGAAAATTAAAAATGGCTCCAACCTATAAAAAAACGTTTGTAGGTGACAAATGGAGGCTTATTTTAAAATTAAAACAAACAAATTTTTTTGTGGGGGCAATAGTTAAAAAAAAGTTTTTTAAATTAAAATTTGTTTTCATTTTTAATAAATTAAACATTTTGTGTGTTTAAAAAAATGTATTTAAAAAGTAGAGGTTTCAGAGGATTTTATGCAAAAGACATGAAATCAATCGAATAACTACAGATGGAGATATAGACTTGCAAACGGACTGACAGACTGCGTTGCAAACTTCTGGCTAATATCATAATACCCTCTGCAAGGGTATAAAAAAAGAAGTAGCAGGAATAAATGAATTGAATTAAATAAACTAATGTAGTGGCTGTGAATTTCGTTGCAAGGCATCCCGGCAGCGGTAACATTCATCGAACAATATAGTTCGACGGAGCGTGATGTTCGGAGGTTCGATGTTGGAAGCGAACGTCGGACATGCAACTTGGGAAAAGAAACCCACGTCGCCGGTTGGATACCTGCCTGTGTCAATAAATGAAAAGAAATAAAAACAAAAAGAAGATAACTAATTGCAAGTGACTGTCCGCTCGTGGCTGGAATAAATGCTTCGCGCAAGAATTTTAAATAGCTTCAGCACCATGCAAAGGGAAAAAAGAACAAAGGCGTAGAAAGTGTAGAATCAAACAACCAATTATTTTTAATTAATTGTTGCCATCAGAAACCACTGCATCGCGCAAGTGTAACTGACGGGCAATATTGCAGAAAACATTATTACAAAACAAGAAAGGAAGTTAACTTCGGCAAGCTTGTATACCCTTGCAGTTATATTTATTAAATTTAAAAATACAAAAAATTATATTCTTAATAGTATATATGTCAAAAAACATCGAAGCTATAATTTGTTTCATATTATTTTCCCACCAATTTTCCGATCGTTCCTATGGCAGCTATATGATACAGTCGTCCGATTTTGATAAAATTTAATTCGGACGGACAGACGGACATTTCAATTCCTGGTTTGATGGATTATTGGGAATGGACACATTAATTAAGTTAGGTGCAAGCTTAGATTTAGAAAATCTTTTATTAAAAACATACAAATGACATACATTTCCTGCAGGAAGCAAATAAAACAATTATAAACTTACCAATCTCGATAAATATTTGTTCATTTTTAATACAAAATACACAA